CCTATATGAAGTATTTTGGATTAGTGCGTTGTTAATAATCAATTGGCTAACATTGCAATTTTTTATAAACAATCCTCTAATCCAAAATAGTTCGTAGCTTCAGAATTGCAATCACTTTATTTATTTTTAAAATACTTCATTTTTTATTAACATTAATTAATTAATTAATATCTCCTACAGTTTTAGAAAAACCTAACAATACTTCTTGGTTAAAGTACTCACCCCTAGGGCTAAACTATGTGCAAGTTACAGCCCGATCCGATCAACCTTCTTTACATTCTCATCATAAATGAGAAAGTATTCATTTTGGTCGATTTTGACTTTTTTCTAAATGAGATACATCAAAAATTTTATTTAATTCTAAAAAGTTACTTTTCTCAAAACCGAAGTCATTGATTTTCGATTTTTTTAACGCAATCATTAATGAATAAGAAATATTTTCACATTTAAGCAAAAGTGGTGTTTTTTATCGTTTAAACGATATTTGCAATTATTTAGGTCGTTGCATAAAGTTTAGAGTATGTATTTTAGAAATGAAACCACTTCAATTTCCATTTCTTTGGTAAGTCATTTGTCGTTCTAAAGTTTATTTCACAAACGGGAAAAAAAGATTCAATTAATTTAGAAAATTTATCAAAAAAGCTTGTAATGCTTATGGCATTAGCGACGGCACAAAGGGTCCAAACATTGTCAAAAATTAGTCGAAAACATAAAGATAAATGAAAATTCAATAAAAATTATAATAACAGACAAAATTAAAACTTTCGGAGTAGAGAAAGCTCAACCAATATTAGAATTCCCCTTTTTTAAACAAGAACCAAACCTCTGTGTCTTAAGTACTTTATTAGAATATCTTAAGAGAACAAAAGAAGATAGGCCTCGAAACTCAAAATTTTTGTTTTTAACATATAAAAAATAGGAAAAGAACTAGGCGCAATTGCGCCTACATCTAGGGTTTCGTGGCGCTTTACATTTTAATTAAAAAAAAATAAATAATTTAAAAATAAATAATAAAATTTATTTTATAAATTTTATGTACTATTAAATTTGATTTATTTAGCAAAATTTTTATTATAAATTAATTATAAATTATAAAATATTAATTTCCATAAATTAATTCTCCCCCAGACAGTAAATTCGAAGAAAATCAAAAATTGGCAAAATCAAAATTCAAAAAGGTAAATGAAAGAAAAAAGAAAGAGTGGCTGTGGAGTGGAGGTCTTTCTTCTATCATTTATCTTTTTTGATTCGCTAACAAAAACATTAGGTAAAATGTCCATTCGATAATGTCCACTATTAAGACATGTCAACTATAGGGACATGTAATGTCCATTCGGGAAAATGTCCATTTAGTAAATGGAGATTTGGGATCTGTGGGGCCCCAAAATTTGAATTTGGGAGCTATGGTGCCCCAAAATTTGAAATTTGGGATCTGTGGTGCCCCAAAATTCGAATTTGGGAGCTATGGTGCCACAAAATTCGAATTTGGGATCTCTGGTGCCCCCAAAATTCGAATTTGGGATCTGTGGGGCCCCAAAATTTGAATTTGGGATCTGTGGGGACCCAAAATTCGAATTTGGGATCTGTGGTGCCCCAAAAGTTTAATTTGGGATCTGTGGGGCCCCAAAATTTTAATTTGGGATCTGTGGTGCCCCAAAATTTTAATTTGGGATCTGTGCCCTAAAATTTGATTTTGGGAGCTGTGGTGCCCCAAAATATACTACGGACAGACGGACGCCAAAGTGAAACTATAAGGCTTTCGGCCATGGGCCACGAAACCCTAAAAACCCTATCACTCGTGCACATCGCAAACTCTGAGTCGATGGATAAAGGACATCCTTAATAAAAGTGGTATCGACACTAAAATTTATACAGGTCATAGTACCCGCCACGCCTCAACCTCAGCAGCTGCTCGAAAGGGAATAAATATTGAAAAAATTAGACAAGCTGCAGGTTGGTGCGAAAACTAAAAAGTATTCGCGTCATTTTACAATCGACCTTTAATAGAAAATGTCGGTGAATTTGTTTCTAGTGTTTTTGATCGACAATAAAATATTTCTAAAAATCAAAGTTGCAATTTAATGCTTTAAACATCTACAAATTTGATCTAGAGGACGAGACGACGTAACATAATTGAACGATTAAACGAACTTAGCTTAAATGAAGTTCAATCGAAATTATGTAAGTACGTCTCGACCGAATAGATCAAACCCTCCCTTACCCAAAAACCCTAACATATATAAATAAATTGCGATTTCACGTAAGCAAAAGCGTAATGACTACATATACATATACATATTACGTTTGCCACTGGCTTCTATAAAAGTATTGATTTCTTGAAAAATTTTGCAAATCAAAATTAGAAATAAATTGAACTAAAAAAAGATCTATTTTTTAAGATATTCTATTTGTTTAAGACAAAATAAATTTATTTTTATGATAAACGATTTCTAAAGAAATAATTTTTTTACAACGAAAAAATCTACAATTTGTTGCTTAAAAAATATTTTTTAATAATTTTTTGATTAATGAGGACTACAAGAAATATTTTTTAAGAAAAAAAAAATATAAAATTTACTATTTAAAAAAAATTATTTCTTTTTAAATCGTTTATCATAATCGTAAATCATTCTGTATGTGTAAATTTTAGCCGCAAGCAGAAAGAACGGCAGAAAGTTTTGGAAATAGGCGAGATTGGCTTTAATTGTATTGTGGAGGTGAGTATGGCGGGGATAGAGCCGACCCTATCGAAAATTCCGATATCGAAACCTATATAGGAAACTATATGGGAAACTATATTGTTTCCCATATAGTTTCCTATATAGGAAGCTATATATGAAGCTATATAGTTAACTATATAGAAAGCTATGTTGGAAAATGGGACAGGCAACGATATAGTTTACGATGTAGTTTACTATGTAGGAAACTATGTCAATTCCGATTTTCTTTTTTTTTAATTTAAAAAAATATTATTTAATATTTTTTCACGCAAGAGTATTCTTAAAACTCTACTGAGAATTATTAAACAATTTTTAAATTTAAATTATAATTTAATAAATTATTAAATTTTAAAAGAGCATTTATAAATGAGTTCCCGGTTACACATATGTAACAAATCTAGATCTCTGTTACAAAAAATATATTTGTTTTTATTTAGCGTCAATAATATAAAAAAAAAAAAAAAAATTCTTCCGACGTGTTGACTCTGAGACGCGAACCCTCGACCATCATAGCTCTCAACCGCACTGGGAGCGCCTTAACGGGCTCGACCAGGGGAGGCTATGAAATATCTTGAGAAAATGTCTCTTATAACGAAAATACTTTAAACAGATACTTATATTATTTTGTAAAGTCATCAAACAGTTTTTCAGATGTTTATTATTACAAAGAGTATATTATTGTATACATATATTTTTTTCCAATGGTATATGCGTTTTAATACCCAATTTTATATTCGGAGTTTATTAACATCATTTAATTTAGAATGACATGAATTTAAATTTTAATCAAGTGAACTCTGCATAAATTTCAATTTTTTTGAAAATAAATTAAGTAACAATGTTCGTATAGCAAATTTTTTTTAATAAACTAATGTAATTTGTATAATGCTAATACTTAATTACAACTCACTTTAAACCAGAATTTTCTTATATGAAATTAATGTGATCAAACATAAATTATTACATAACTACAATTCAATAATTATTTTTTTTTAAACAAGGAAAATAAGTTACATTGACAGAATTCTCAAGTTTTTAAAAGTTCCAAAAAAAGTTATCAAGCAACAAAAATTTACGCACAATTTTATTATTTTTAAACACTATAATATTAGGGGTACCTCCAATTTTAATAAAACTTGGTATACTAACGTATTTTGGTGCGTTAATTATGAAAATGATAGTGAAAATTGAAGCAAATTTGATTATCATGGTAAAAACCGACAAAATGTTTAAGGCGAAACTTGACCATAAAAAACACGTTAAAATCGTTGTTTTTTGCGATTATCTCGTAAAAAAAGCAAAATTTCAAAAAATTTTTTTAACAAAAGTTATAGATCTCATAGAACACACATTTTATCTCGTATATATTTTTACCAAAAGTGATCATTTTTATATGTTAGTTATGGTTTTTTAGATTTTTCTCAAAAAATTATGATTTTTGGTAAAAAATGCATAGGAGATAAAATGTACGTTTTTTGAGATCTACAACTTTTGCCTAAAAATTTTTTCGAAATTTTGAGTTTTTTACGAGTTAATCGCAAAAAAAACATGATTTTATGGTGTTTTTTATGGTTTTTACCATGATTAATCAAATTTGCTTCAATTTTCACTATCATTTTCATAATTAACGCACCAAAATACGTTATCCTATCGAAAATTCCGACATCGGAACATAGATTGTAGCCTACATCTGAAACGTTATCTAAATGCATATAGGAAACTATATCGGGAACCATATGGGATGCTATATCGGAAACTATACAGGAATCGATGTTGGAAATTTGGACAAGCAAAGATGTATTTTCCCATATAGTTTCCGATATCGTTCTAAAACCAGATTTAATCAATTTGAACTATATTAATCATTTGTATCGTATTTTAACACATTATATTTAAATATTTATGTGCATTTTCATTTTTTAATTTTGATTAATAAGATGAAAGTAGAATAATAAAACTTAAAATAATTATTTTCTGGATACAATATATTAATAAAATGTAAATAGTAAATATATGTAATTGTAATTTTTGTCTATGAAAAGTAATATATTATCACAAGAAGTCAAAATAAATCTTTTTAAACGAGAAAGGTCATATGATTAGACAGAGGGCTGAATAAATAAAAAATTTATACATTCAGTCATATTTTATTAAATAATTTTATATAACATAAAATATATTTGAACAAAATTATAACATTTTTTCAAAATTAATGTTTTATAAATTATATGAAATAACTCAATTTTTTTTGTTTTAAAAAAAAACAATTTAAATGGTTTTTCGAAAAAGTAAACTTTTTAAATAAAATCTTAAAGTCAAATTGTTAAACAATTGAAATGGCGATGAAACGCGTTTTACATATACATTTTCCTAGTTTTCAATAAAAACTTTTTTTCTAATTCGTTAGACTTCTTCAACAGACGTAAAATTTAATTTTCTTCTTGAATCATAAATTTTTTCTGTCATGTAAGACCAAAATTTATTGACTCTGGATAATCTCTTGCATCCAGTCACTTTACTTTCCGTAACCTTATTTTGTAAGTGATCTATTAAAAAAAAATAAATATTTTAAAAAATGATAAAACTAAATGGGTATAGTTATAATGAGCAAGATGTTGAATTACTTATTATTATTTTGCATTTCTCGGGAGTCAACTGTTTGCTTTCTTTATCATATGTTAATTTTGAACTGTCCAAACACCGCTTTTGTAATGTAGTGGTCCCCCAAATGATTTCAGCCAAGTCCTTAACAAATTGCGAATCACGTTGAGTCTTTATAGACTGCCATACATCCATGTGGACAGAAATACCTTCACAGATCTGAAACTTTTAGAAAAGAAAAAATCTTGAAATAATTTAAAGCTAAATTTGAATAAATTAATTCATGACTGAATGTTGACAAACTGCAATCATACTAAATTAAATACTATAAATGAAGAAATTACAAGTTTTTCGCTTTTACAAATTTTTTTAATTTGACCTTGATTTTTAACAATTTCACCAATTTACATCTTGTTTCTAGAAATTAATTTCTTAACTTGGGACATTTCACGTGAAATGTCTATATATTCGCAATTTTTACTTGGCGCCAATTATCTACCGCGAATATTGATAACATTTTTCAAATTTAATTCAATGCCTTGACATTTTTTTTAATTACATTAATAATTATCTCATTATATTGAATATCACTTACTTGATCTCTCTCGTCTGTATTGGTATCATGTTCATACATTATGCTTCGTCTTTTTCTAGGATGTTGAATCCTTTCACTTATACTTGGTTCAGGTATTATACCATTTAATACTTAAAAATCATTATTAATATTATTACCCAGATAGCACGTAATCTTGCAGCAAGTTTGCCGTGGTAGATTTGCAATATTCCGGTACAAGCTTCAAATGTCCCACCACGGCAATATTGCACGACAATTTTGCCACAGGATAGCCATAACGTTGCAGTAATTTTGTCGAAAGCTTGCGCGAGATTACCTAATTTTGTAGAAAATTAAAACAAAATTTTTTCAATTTTATACAGTATTAAATCATAGAATCTGTTTTAAGGAAGTTTCGGACAAAGAATCGGAATAAAAGTTATTCCGATGTGATAATTTCGTATTTTATATGAAAAAGTTGAACTACATTTTAAATTCTATGTAGTAAAAGCTTAAATAATTTAATTGCCAACATTTTAAACAATATAAATTTTTATTTAAATTAAAACTAAAAATTTCTGTCATTAAAAAATGATTTAGGTAACATAACCTAAAATTAGAAAATAGTTCTTTATGACAGAAAATTGTAACTTTATTCCAATGCAACTTTTAATTGTTTAAATTGTTGAAAATTATATTCCTTACGCTTCCATTAAGATAAATTAAAAATTTAATATATCTTTCTTATTAAATACAAAATTATGACATTGAACGACTGTATGTGAGATTCCGCCTTAATACTGTATGAAATTAGAAAATTTTTTTTTTTAATTTTCTTAAAATTAGGTAATTTTGAAGCTCAAACATTTAAAACTTGAACATTTGAAGTTTGCATAAACTTTCCGCAAGATTACATGCTATCTGTGTATCAACTGATAATACCTACCATTTTGGGTTTCAAAAGATTCGCCTTCTCTTAACAATGTGGTATCATATGAAGAACAATTTCCCATTAAATTTGAATGCGTGGTCCCTCTTTGATCTGAAAATTTTATAAGAATATTTAAGGAAAAATAAAAAGAATTTTAATTAAATTTCACTTCCTTGTTTTAAAATTTTTTTTCGACGTTAGGTTAATGACCTGCTACATTTTAGGTAATAAATTAAACAAAGGTAAAAACTAAATAAAAAATACCTACAAATAAATTAAATAAATAAATACTAAACAATTAGAATTTATAAAAAGACAAAAATTCAAAGTCTACAATTACAAATTCCAGATAATCATTATCTTGAATTTGTAATGATAATTTTCTTACGCAAGAAATTAATAAATTCAATAAGTAATTAATGTTAAAGTTACCATGATACTCTTCAGTTGATTCCTCTGCATTGTTTGGTATTGTAGATTCGAATGTAGCTGAACTTGGACAAGAATAAAAAATTCTTTTTTTTGGTCCTAAAAAAGTTTATATTCTTGAGTATTAATAATGTAATTAATAATATTACCTTAGTATTATAATATGAACTTCAAATTTTTGCAAATACTCAGCCCCAAAAATAAAACTAAAAATGAAATAAAGGTTAATCATTTACTATAATGAAATATTTTTCTCTACTTCTTCAAAAAGTGAGTTAGTTTATCAAAGATTTGAATAATTTATATTTAATATATTTATACTATTTTTTCATATATCTCTGTTGTTATTATCAATAGTGCTGCGTTGTCATTAAATAAAATATTTATTGACAATTTCTTTTTTGTTTAACGTTGTGGACTTCAAGTTAATTTATTATTAATGAAAATAAAATTCATGAAGGTGAAACAGGAACCGAATTATCAGAACCCACATAATTTTGGATATTAAATTTTTCATAGGTTACATTTTAAATAAATTTAATTTTGGCTAAATTAAGATGAAAGGCAATAAGAAATAGTAAGAATTTGATTTTTTAATTATTTGATGCAAATACTGATTACTTAACTGTCATTAAATAAATATTTACTTCAATAAAAAAACCATATATTTAAATTAATTAAGTACTATTACTTTTAAATATTGAATTTATTGGTTTAAATATAATTCATTTGATTTAAATAAAACAACATACAATAAGCACAATGCAATTAGATTTTTGATTCACGTTGTGATTCCATGGTTAAGTTAGAAATTAAATTTCTTTATTTAAAAATAAGTGTATTTTAAAAAATTGGATTGAAAACATTGAGGAATTGAATCTGATTAAACCAAAGAAGCAATTCAGAAATTTTATTAAGAAAAATTTTAAACATTTAAGTTCTAGTTCAAAAATTGTATATAATTATTGTATAAGAATTTCCTATTTTATAATCAGGATTTATAAAGATAAATTTTGGACGTAAATATTATTATAGTGCTGAAAATCTTAAGTTTTATATTTCAATAAGTCTCTTACCGCAGGCTTCTTTTTTCTTTTGTTTTGATTTATTGACCTTGTACAAGATTTCGCCCTGCTTATATCAGAACTACCGAAACTCATATTACGCCTGTTCGGATATTTCAATCTTCTTTTACTCTTTTTCTTAATTATATCCGATTTGCTCACTGAAATGTAAGAAGAATATTAGCATTTAAAAAATTTTAAATTGAATTACAAAGAGAAAAATTGCAAAATATTTTTAAAACAAAAATTATAATTTTTTTCAATCATTTATTAGTAATGTCGTGAACATGAGCTTTAAAAATGAAGTAACTAATGCAACTAAAAATTAATTCTATCTTCGGAAGTAGCACGTAACATTACTGTAATGTTACATGTAATGTTAGTAATATTACAATGTAACATTACAGTGACATAACAGCAATATTAAGTAACACAAGCATAAAATTTTTCACACGTGCTTTCTAGTATTTAAATTTTTTTTAAATTTATAGAAAAGTATAAAAATTAACAATGTGTGTTTAAGAATTAAAAACAATATTTATTTAATGGTACTTACGGCCTAAAAGAAGGATGTTTCCATTCAAAAGAGTATCGTTTTCCTTTTTTCCATTGAACCATATTTTATATTTTTGATTTAGTTTGAAGTCGGATTCATTTTTTGGAAAAAATTTTTCAATCCATTCCACTGGCACCACTTTCTGACAACCGTTGTTGAACAAAACGAGAGCCACTTTTATAGTCTCCATAACAAACACGAAGTTGACCTCAGAAAATACAAAATAAAACTCAATAAAACTGTACCCGGCAGATCTTCTGGTACCCACTACTCGGTCAAGAAAAATTGTCTGCTCTTATCACGTGACTGACAGGAGATATTACGCATACTTTAACGTTTTAAAACTTTCAAATGCGGGAGGGAGGGAGGGAAAAATAATCCAATCAGCATAAGCGCGTTTCTGTTGGATCAGCCAATGACGTAACACTATAAGGGTCCTAACGACACAAAGTTGAGGTTAAAATATATCAATCCTCGGAACTCACCTTGTCCATATAGCGAAAACATCCCTATGTTTGCTACGCTTATTATTTACTGGCATCCAGGATTGACTGTTAACATTCAAATTCTTGTTCGCGGAGTTTAATTTTTGTTAATTGTTAATTAAAAAAATTACATAATTGAATTGGACTACAATTACCATAATATAATAAGAGGTGTAATAAGAGGAGCAGTATTATATCAAGTAAGTAAAATTGTTATTTTTTAGTGTTTACCAATTAAATTAAATAGGTGATATAGCAGAAAATAATACACGTTAAGTTTTTTTTGAAAAAGGGGAGACGCGCGTCAAAAATATATTATACATATAAGGGTAATTGTAAAAAGTTCAAAACTGATCGACGATAAATATATGATATGAAATCGTTGGCTTTATAAGTATATTTCAATCATTTGTTCATATGAAAAGAAAATATTCTATTTAAGTTTATGGATGCAATACACACCACTGAAAGTATCTTCACGACAATCCCTTATAAAATTAATCTGTTCTTGATTGACTAGATATTATTACATATTTTTCATAAGATGTCATTTAAAATTCAAAATTGTTTTATTAATTTCATAAGATAATAACAATCATCATGTGCTAAATTTAACTATTTTTATCTGTCATACATATCCATCATACATAATTATGGGAAAACAGTAATTCAGAACTTAGATTATTAGTGACAATGAAAGAATATTATTTGTAGAAAAATTTGTATCAATATTTAAGTATCATCAGTATTTTATCCATAAAATCGTCTTACAAGAAGATTTCGAGAAAATCTGCAGAATTTAAATAAAAAAAATTTAAATAATAATTAAATGTTAAGTTTATTTATTTGTAATGTTAACGTATTATTATGAAGAAATTTTAATTTAATTAATTTAATAATAAATTATAAATTAAACTTATAATAAATTTGTGTTACTGCACTTGTTTCTCAGATAGATTTTTCTTGCATTGACATTTGGAAAAGCATTTTCCTGTCGGGAGGCGTCGATATGTAGTAATTTATTTTAATCTATGTTCATCACTAAGTATATGGCAACAATATTAAATAATTGTTTTAGTAAAGCATAAGTCAACATGTTTTGTAAAAACTGTTTTAGCTTTATATTTCGTATAAAATAACATTTTTTTCAATCTAGGGATTAGATAACATCATGAACAATAGCCGTAGACCAAAGAGATATAAGAAATATTTACATCCAGAATCGGAAAATGTTATGCCATCTTCTACGTGGTACCGAAATAAAAAACAGCGTAATGGAGAAGTGTGAAACCATTATAACATATTGATACAAAAATAACAATTTATGACGAAATTGCAGATTTACATGGAAATTTTTTTCAGGGTAGTGGATCTTCATTTTCTTGTTTTCAACAAAATGCTGAAATACAGATAGAAACAGAAAAATTGCCTTTCATTGAAGAATATGATTCAGACGACACCATGAGTGAACGTGATCGAAACCTTGAAATTGCGCTTTCAGAAGAAGAAAATTTTATAGTAAGAAGATTACATATCTATATTAGGCCTAAGTAAACTGAAAATCGTTAAATTTTTTAAAGTCCTAGTCAAATTTATAAGATCCATTTACTAACTGTTGCACTATCCTCTACGCTCTCATAAAAATCTGCTTTCGGTTAATTCGCTTCCTCTCACATGGGACTGACATTCCCATAAACAGAGTTTTAATAAACATTGAACTAAAATAATTTTTAAAATATTTATTGTAAATAAAGGAAAATATGTCATTTTGATAAATAATGAAGGTTATAACATCAAGCCAAGAAAAGATTAAAATTTTTAAAAATATATTGCAATATTAAAGTCGAAATGATGCACTTGTACCAGAATTATCCATACAAGAGAATATTTTGAACGAGAGTATAATTATTTGTATAATTTGTAAATTTTTTAATAATAATATAGAAATCTAAGAAAATATATTAATAGAATTTTATATAAATATATTTTTTGTTTCAATAATGTGTTTATAATTACAGGCATACGAAACCATAATAAATGATAATAATGATCAGTTTGAAATTGAACGAAATACAAATGAACTGTTTAATCCATGCACAGTAAATCATGCTGATCAAATTGAAAAAGTGGTGGAACTATTTTCTGACGATGAATTAGAATGCCCCAACATGTCATATGCTCAGGTAAGCTGAGCATTTATTATATTTGAAATATTCTTTCTTCATTTTAAGCGTCTATTATTATATAATAATATAATATAATAATATATTATATATAATATAATAATATATTACATGTAATATAATAATAAATATAATAATAGTCGTATTTTTTAATTATTACTGTATTGAAAATTCTGTACATGATCACGTGCAGTTTTCTGTAATATTTTATATATTTATACAATACCTTGAAATACATCTTGGTTATAATATTCTCAGAAAGTTTAATTATATTTCAGAGTGATATGGAGGACAATTTTCTTGTGGAATCATCAGATGACGATAACCTTTCCCTGGCTGAAGATTGTGAACCAATTGAAAATAACGACTTTCCATATAGAAATTGTTTCTCATCCATAGCAGAGGTGATTGGTAACAATAATATGTCAACTCCAATACAAGTGCCAGTAAAGACTACTCCTAGTGAATTATTATTAATGATTCTAAAATATGCAATAGTACACGCGTTGTCATTAATAGAAATCACAAATCTATTTAAACTAATAAACTGTATTTTCGCTTTCAACGTTTTGCCAAATACAAAATATTTAATTGATAAATTGTTCTACCCAAAAAATCGTACAGAACTTCATGCAACATGCACAAAATTGTCTGCATATGTAGGTAAATTTAAACGAGAAACAAAATTTGTAAAATGTAAATCGTGTAAAACCAAGATTAACACAAAAAATTATAAGTACAAAGATTTTTTCGTGACAATGGATGCTTCTTCGCATATTTTAAAACTAATAGAATGTAACAGTACTTATTATAAATATGTAGTTAACGAAAGAATAAACGATAAAGGCAATATTCGCGATATATATGATGGCAAATTATATCGCAACTTTGTGAAAAATTTAAGTGAAAACGATAAACGCAGCTACGCTACTGTTACATTTAATACTGACGGAGCACCGTTATTTACCAGTTCCTCCTACTCAATTTGGCTTACAAATACTTTGTAAGAGGTTTCTTTTAAATTAGTTTAGAAACCATATCGGAAACTATATCGGAAACTATATGGGAAAATACATCTTTGCTTGTCCCAATTTCCAACATCGATTCCTGTATAGTTTCCGATATAGCATCCCATATGGTTCCCGATATAGTTTCCTATATGCATTTAGATAACGTTTCAGATGTAGGCTACAATCTATGTTCCGATGTCGGAATTTTCGATAGGATAACGTATTTTGGTGCGTTAATTATGAAAATGATAGTGAAAATTGAAGCAAATTTGATTAATCATGGTAAAAACCATAAAAAACACCATAAAATCATGTTTTTTTTGCGATTAACTCGTAAAAAACGCAAAATTTCGAAAAAATTTTTAGGCAAAAGTTGTAGATCTCAAAAAACGTACATTTTATCTCCTATGCATTTTTTACCAAAAATCATAATTTTTTGAGAAAAATCTAAAAAACCATAACTAACATATAAAAATGATCACTTTTGGTAAAAATATATACGAGATAAAATGTGTGTTCTATGAGATCTATAACTTTTGTTAAAAAAATTTTTTGAAATTTTGCTTTTTTTACGAGATAATCGCAAAAAACAACGATTTTAACGTGTTTTTTATGGTCAAGTTTCGCCTTAAACATTTTGTCGGTTTTTACCATGATAATCAAATTTGCTTCAATTTTCACTATCATTTTCATAATTAACGCACCAAAATACGTTAGTATACCAAGTTTTATTAAAATTGGAGGTACCCCTAATATTATAGTGTTTAAAAATAATAAAATTGTGCGTAAATTTTTGTTGCTTGATAACTTTTTTTTGGA